TTGATAACTATATATATTATATGTATTATATACATATAGTAAGGATTCAGTTATATACAAATTTCATACATTACATTTACATAAAATTTTAATTCTTTATCTCTCTATTTTTAATAATTGAGATTTATTCATTTTTTTATCATATTTATAAAGATAATTATTATTTTTATCTAAAAAGTTATGATTAATCTCAATTATTAAAAATGGAGATATGAATGATCAAGTTTTTATATAAATGTAATTAATCTGTAAAATTTACGTATAAGTGGATAGCTACTCATATATATATATATAAAGAGTGTTTCAAGACTCTTTCTTGGCTGATACCTCCAAAAATGTTATATTTTAATTAATATATAATTTTTAAATTAACTGTTAAATTAAAAATTTTATTTATATAAATTATGTATATCAAATTTTAGATTGATTTAGTAGGTCCAACTAACCAACTAGTTTGTAGAAGATAAAAATAAAGACTAACATTATTGCTAGATCAAAATAAAAATGAAGGTTAATTTCTAAAACTAAAAACTTTGATATAGTCAATAATTTAAAGAATTTAATAATAATTTTTTCAATAAAAATAATAAATCCTAAATTCAAATCAAATAGCATATAGATAAAATAGGTGAAAGAATGAAGTAATTTTATTTTTTATTGTGTAACTTAAAATAAAATAAAATAAACAAGACATTGCACAAAAATGAAAGTAAAAGGAGAAAAAAAAGAGAAAAGAGAGTAACTAAGTGAACGTTATTGCTTACTCAAAAACGTCGTAGGATCAAAATGTGAGACGGCTACGGCTACGATAAATGTGACTCCTGGAATGAATAAATTAAGTTGTATAAATGATTCAGAAAGAGAGCAGTGCTAAGGGCACTCGCTTCCTGCACTCTCCGGCCGACACTGCCCCTTTCATTGGGCCACGTAAGGTTGTTTTAACTTTGAAGTGCAACCTCTGACCGACTAAAACAACGTGGCCCAATGAAAGCGGCAGTGTTAGCCGCAGAGTGCAGAAAGCGAGTGCCCCTAGCACTGCTCTTCAGAAAGAATGAGTTTCGTAACTGCAAAATTGATTACCGTGACAAAAAAAAAAAAAAAGAGCATTGCCTTTCCAATTCATTGTACAACAAAAAAATAAAATAAAATAAATTCAAAAGGCAAAACAATAGTAGTTTTTTTCTCACAAACAAGAACAAAGACATGGCGCACAAAACGTAAGGCGCAAAAGGAAAAAGGCTAATTGAGGAGACTTTATTATCTACCGTACAACAGCCCGATAGCCACAAGCCATCTTCCATAATGCTTTTTGAGTGCTACACCTGCAATGAATGATCAGTTATACTCCTTCTGTCCCAAAGAATGGGTTTTTCTTTTTTTTAATTAAGGATTTATAAATAAGTTATGTATTTATTTATATTATTTTTTAAAAAAATTAATAAAGTTTTTGTAATAAAATAATTAATTAAAATAAATAAATAATGATAAGATTAAAATAAAAAATACTTCATTATTTTAAAAAATAAAAAAATAAAAATTACAATAAAATCAAAATAATTAAATGACAATTATTTTGAAATAAAATAAGTATTTATTATTTAGAAATAATCAATTTCATAGTTGCAACACTTGATTTGCTTTATTTATTCTTTAGTTTTTTTAAAAAAAATTATTTTAGTATACCTTGAGAGGTGGCTTAATTGGTTAGAAATTTAAGATTTTAAGTTGAAAATTTCATGTTCAAATCTTAAGTTAAATAGAAAGGGATTTTCACAAGAGAAGGTTATTTTTTTCTTACATGGTACATTATCAAATGTATCAAAAAAATTTGTTTTAGTATAAGAATGCTGTAAAAAAAATAAAAAAACCGTATGTTGCAATAATTAGGGCTAAAGCCAACTACAGTCCATTTACTTTCAATTTTTGTTCATTGTCTTTGTATTTACAAATCATTCAAAATCCTCCCTTTACTCTTCCAAACCATATGTTTATAACACTATTAAATGCAATAGGTTTATTTTTTTATTGCATTGTTTCTGTGGGCCCACAAAATTCCATAATTTTTTGTTGTGATGCCACGTGTACTATCGACATAAACAAAAAATTTCTGCTCCCATCAATTTCGTACTTTGCTTTTTTTTTTTTTTGGTCTTCAAAACTAACAGTATTCTCTTGCACAATCAATTATTGTTTTAGTCCTGAATTTTAGAGAAAAAAAAATCATCCACTTGCAATACTTTAAACAAAAGTTGCAGGGGATATAAAACATCAGACTTTTTTTTCTTTTAAATTTGAAAATAAAGAATTTCGTGTAATTGAAAAAACCTTTAATAATTCATCAAAATCTAAACTCAAACAACTATATTCATATTCTACCATACCAAAATTTGTACATAAAAATAAAAATGTAAAACAGAAAATAAAATAAAAAGTTCATACTCGTACAAATTTAAAAAGTCCGTACAATACTCATTGTTACGCCAAGAAAGGGGACATTTCAATCCCACTCGCAACTCTATTGAGAAGGTTATCACTGGCTTCGATCAAAGCAATCTACATCGCTCTTGGCTTCAAGTACAATTCTATCACCGTTAATCTAATTCTGATTTGGATCACTTTGTAGTTGTTTTTGATATGATTTTGTGTTTGTATTTGTTAGGCCAAAGCAACAAGGAGTCCACAGGAGAAAAATACAAGATTAATTGGAGAATGTGTGTTGAAGGATTTTGATAATAACAAAACTCTTTATAATATTTAATGAATTTGAGTTTAAGTATACAGTTAAATAACTCTAATATGATTCAATTGAAAACTTGAAAAATTGCAGAAAATGGATGAAGATTTGAATATAGGGTTCTACATATAAATTTGATTCTCTATTCAAACATTCAACTCTCAACCTAAAATAAAGCAAAAGGCCTAAACAACAGAAGAGTTGACTCTTGATATGCATGTTCAACTCTTGATATGCATATTCAACTCTTGGGCCTTGAAAATTTCACTCTTAGCAATTAAAGATTCAACTCAAGAAATAGAAAGTGTCAGGACTTGTGAAGGCACATGGCAGATTCGAATCTTCACTTGAAGATTCTACTATTTAGCGAAGATATTCAAATTTCAATTCCTATATTTGACTCTTGAACTGAACAAGGGATTTTAAACCAAGTGCCAAAATTTCTTAAAGATTCAACTGTCAGGTTGAAGAATCAAATTTAGACTTTAAAGATTTGACTCTTGGAAGCTATATTCAAATCTTGACTATACAATAACAACTAATTTTTTGAATTTGACAAGTTTGCAAAGCATTTAATGCAATCTAACATCCCCAAATGGCTTTTTTCAACTTGAGGAAGATAAATAGGGTTGGTGGACACACTAATGAGCTTCTTAAAGACTTCATTGAAGAATTTCAACAACCCACTTGAGCTTTCGCTTCAATCATTCAATTCTTTGTACTTTTATTTGCATATTTGATCATTAAGTAATCTTGTCTTGTAATTTTGTAATCTTATTCTATGAGTGACTTCTTGGGGGTATAATCTATTCCTTTAAGAGTGATTTTGTAGTGATGTTTGTTGAGTTAGATTGAAAAGGGATGAGATTGAGTGAAACCTATTTTCTTGTAAAAGGATTGGGTAGTTTCTTTAAACTCCTCTTGAGCACTAATGAAGAGTGTGAAGGAAATCCTTACTGAGTGAAGGAAAACCTCACTGAGTGAAGGAAAACCTCACTGAGTGAAGCTAAGGTAGAGGATAACATGCCAAGTGGTTGGATTGAACATCTATAAAATCTTTGTGCAAGCTTTTTTCCCTTCTCTCTTACATTTTTAATTTGTAGTTGCAAAAAGAAGAATTTTAAACTTCAATTCACCCCTTCTTAAAGTGCATTGAGTCAACAGAATTATTAATGTTGTTTTTGATTATATAAAATTCTTTATTTTTAAATTTAAAAGAAGCAAGTCTAATGTTTTTTTTCCCATGCAACTCTTATTTAAAGTATTGCAAATGGATGATTTTTTTTCTCTAAAAGTCAATACTAAAACATGTAATTGTTTGTGCAAGAAAATACTAATAATAATAATTTTGAAGGTAGAAAAAAGAGCAAGTATGAATTTTGATGGAAGCAGTAACTCTTTATTTACGTTGATGAAACACACGACACCATTAACAAAATACTGTGAAATCTTATAGGATCACAAATACAATAGAACAAAGAAACATAAACTATTGCATTTAGTGGCGTTAGGGGAGGAATAAATGGTGTCATTGTGTTAGGTGAGGGAGGTAAACGTAATGAAAAATTAAGTAGAGGGAGGATAACAGTATGGTTTAGAAGAATAGAGGGACTTTGAATGATTTGTAAGTACAAGGAAGACAATGAATAGAAATTGAAAATAAATGGACTATAGTTGGCTTTAACCTTAATAATTAAAAATGTACTTTATCAAAATAAGAAAGAAAAGCGAGAACATACATGCATAAGCTTTGGTTGGTTTTTGTTTCAACTTTTTGCAACGTTATTAGTCGGTGATTTTAATCAAATGTAGGGGTACTTGTGATGTGGATTAATTAGACTAGATTTTAGTATTTTTAAAACTAAATTTAATTTAATTAGTTAGTAAAATTTTCAAACTAATTTAATCTATTATTATATTATAACCAAATCAATTTAAATGACCAAAAAAAAAAAAAACTAACCAAATCAATTTAATTTGGATTGGATTGGCATGATTTAGTCATATTAATCAGTTTTTAATATTATTAAATATATTTGATTAGATAAAAAAATTAGAGTATTAACCTATAAAAAATACAATTATAAAGCACAATAATATCATAGACAACAAAATAATAATATTAACTTTTAAATTGAAGTAAAAATTAAGAAGTAGAAAAAAAAAACGTAAGAACTAATAAGGTAACTAAAATATGTAAACCCTCACTATTATCGCTCAAGTAAAGAGTTTAAAAGTCAAGTTTTTGTTTTTATAGGATAAGAAATGATGAAAATTTAAAATACAATTTGTATACAAAAATAAAAATTTTAAAAAATATATTTACTAAAAAATATAAAAGTAAAAATGTTATATTATTTAATTAAATTATTTTGTAATCAGACAGTTTGATCAGTTTGAAGATAAAACTACAAATCAAATCATTTATATTAGTTTTAAAATTTTATAATCCATGCCATCTCAAATTGATGTTATTTTGGATTGAATTTTATTTAGATCAAATTAGTTTCAAGTGAATCAATTAGTTTGGATCAAATATGAATAACTTTAATCAAATAGATTAAATATTTTAAATTATAAATAACAATAATTATCAACTATTAAATTCTAATTATCAGTTATTAATTAGCTGTATTTTAACAGCTAATCCAAATAATCCAAACAACCACATTGTATATTTGCTTTGCTCATAAAAAATATATTCTCTTTATTTCTATAAATAGGAATCAAGATATGGTACCGAAAAATTAGGGAAAAAAAATGAAAAAGGCTGAGTGGATGTTAATGCATACCTACTACTAACAAAAGCAGTTGAGCTAGTACACCTATTAGATCCATATTCGAGAATGTCACTGCAATCAAATGAATTATATACAGAGTTCAGAAGGAATAACTTTCATAGATGAAATAATTGAATGTAATTCTATTATAATTATCTAAAGAGATTGTCTTTAACTTATAGTACAGAAACAAAAACAAACTAAACTGAAATTTAAAAGAAATCAAGAACATACACATGCATTTACTTTAGTTCATGTATAGAGAATTATGTTTTACACAGTTTAAATTATAAAATAAAAACTTTGAGAAGGGACAATCCTCAATATTATGGGGTTTGTCCCCCATCTAACCATTTAAGACTGCACAACAAATTTTTTTTAATATGTGTATGTATATAAACACATATATAAACAAATAGATACCAGCCTTAATTGTAAAAAATTAGGTGAAATGAGACATAAAAACAACGCCATTCTAGACCCCTATATATTTTCTCATTTTTTTTCCCTTTTCTTTCTCCTCCTCCCCTCACCTTCTTCGATGTCCACGGTCTCCCCCTTCTCTGTTAGAACCAGCCCCTATGCACGCCAATGATCAACCACAGCTGGCCTGCTCTTGCTGTTTCCAGCACCCCCATTTATTACATACCGAATTGTAAATGAGGGTACTTTCGGGACTTTACTGGTTTGTGAGTCTATAAAAATATCAATGTATCAAGTTTAAGGGTATCTGATGAAATATACTATAAGTGGTTTTCTTCCTTCTCTCTCGACTCTGTTTCTTCTTTGAATTCTCCTTCTTCTTGATTCTTCCCTTGATTCTAGATTCTTTCTCTTCTTTCTCCTTAATTTTGAATTGGACCGTAACGCCATGATTATTTGGCAGCCAAACGGTGTGTTTTTTCTGCAAATATCTCTTCAAGCTTGTAGACTTCCATTCTGAAGTATATCTAATGAGTTTCCATTGTTTTATATAGAAAATGACACCAAAAGTAAGATTTGGTGAAGCTGATGACTCCATTGCCGGGATATTGGCAAGAAAGGAGAGACCACGCGACTACACGTACGCTAAATGGCTCCGTTTGATGTTCTCAACCCATTCTTTGACCCAAACTCAAAAGTGAGAAAACAACGCAATTTTTAGAGTCCCATTCTCTAATTTTTGCAGAACAGGCTGATATCCAGTAATATCTCACACAAACACATGAGATAATCCACTAATCTCTCACGTACATATATATATATATATATATACATATAAGTTAGAATTCATTTACAAATAATGTAATTTTATTGTTTTCAATAAAATTTATTAAAATAAAGTACTTTGTGGTGATTTTCTTAATTTTTTTAAAGATATGTGGAGAAACGCTTTATATATATATATATATAAAAGAAATAGTACTTATTCACCTTATTCTATAAAAATTAAGAAAAAAATCATTTAAAATTATGTCATTTTAATAAACTCTCTTTAAAAAAAAACTAAAATACCTTAAAAAAAAACTAAAA